CTCAGGTTGAAGCACTGGTGATTAGGGGATTATTCTGGTATAAAGAGGTCTGGGTTAGAAGTCACTGCACTAGGTTGCCGCCAACTCTTTATTTCTTGGCTGCGCCACCTTGGGTGAGTCACTTCGTTCCTCTGAGCCTCAGTTTGTCTGTTTCTAAGAAGGGGTTGATGGTACCTGTTCTTCCTACCTGAGAACTCCTGTGAGAGTGAAATGAGATAGAGCAGAGGAAAGGGTTTTGGAAGCCATCAAGCACCGTGTTGTTCCAAAGGCTTAGGGGTTAGGGAGTGATGGTGCAATGAGGAAGGAAGGGGGCTTGAGAGGGAGAATATGGATGTTACCTGCGATATACTGAGTATTTCAGATGACCCAGAGCAAGCTGTAACTAAGAGTACTCTGGGCCGGGCGCAATGGCTTATGCCTGTAATCCCAGCACTTTGGGAGGCCGAGGCGGGCGGATCACAAGGTCAAGAGATCGAGACTATCCTGGCCAGCATGGGGAAACTCCGTCTCTACTAAAAATACAAAAATTAGCTGGGCGTGGTGGTGTGCGCCTATAGTCCCAGCTCCTAGGGAGACTGAGGCAGAAGAACTGCTTGAATCCAGGAGGCAGAGGTTGCAGTGAGCTGACATCACACCACTGCATTCCAGCCTGGCGACAGAGCAAGACTCTGTCACAAAAAAAAAAAAAAGAAAAAAAAAAAAAAGTACTCTGTCACAGGTTTGTGATATTTACCTGTTAGGAGATTTTTATTTCAAATGTGCTTTCCCAGATGTTCTGTTTCTGGCAGTCTAGTTCCACAGTCTGTTCCCCAGAGAGAGGTAGCTTGGGCAAGATGAGGCTAGTTCTGGATTTGAAAGAGGTACTCTGCTTAGCTTTGTGGACTTCCTCTTATGATCTGTCCTGGCCTCTGCTTGACTGCTCTGAAGGTTACTGGAATTTCTGCAATGGTCTCATTCTCCCAGTCTCATTGCCTGAGATCGTTAATAGACATTCCAAAAGTAACACATCGAAAGTGGCATTTTTGCTTTCTGTCCTACACTGGAGTTCAGAGACGTGGCTGATCTGCTTTGCTTGACTCTGAAAGACAGTGTGAAACTCCCCAGTAAGCGGTGCAATCAGCTGCTTTAGCTGAGTAGTGAGAATTCCTCCAAACTGGATATTCTGCAGTGGAGGAATCCCATTACTTTTTCAGGCAAGTGGACTCTTGGCTCTTTGTAGGTATTTCCTCATTGTTCAGAGAGTATGCAGCCATGCTTTCGGTTTTTCGTTGTACAATCCTTATTTAGGCAACAAAAATGATGAGCCATGGAAGGTTTGAACTGTGTCTGCTCAAGTTCCAGGGTAAATCATTGACTACTTGGTAGAGTGGAAAGGGCTGGGAGCCTGAGTGCTAAGTGTGCCTCTGCCAGTAACTCCTGATGACTTTGGGCAAGGAATGTAAACTCTTTGCTCCTGAGTTTCCCTATCAATAAAATAAGTAGGGACCACTTGAGCCTTGAAAGATGGAACAGTCAAGTAAAAATTTGCAGCAGAGCCAGTTGGCAGATAAGGGGAAGTGCAGAACCAATGTCATGTCTGTATTGGAAATGACGCAGCATATTTGAAAATTGTAACATTAGGTCAACAAACATACATTTGGTAATAACCAGACTGTCAAAGACAGTTATATAAAGTTAACCTCTTTATTCATTTTTGAAAAGGAGAGAGATTCCTTTCTTGACACTGACTTGAGTTGGGATGAAATAAGAACCGAATCTCTCTTGGTCTTTGGATTCTGTCCTTCTCTAGTAAGAAAAGCCGAATTCTTTACAAATGGGTTGTTCTGATGTGTCTGCCTAGGCTGTTGTATGAAGGAAAGGCAACTAAACACGGTCTAGTGTCTGGATGAAAGCAAAGCAAGTCATCTCTGGGCATGGAGGACTTTGTGGTGTAATGTATATTTCCAAAGGGAAACTCTTGCAAAATGCAGATGCTGATCCCAGTTCTGACCTTGGTAGCTGGTGCCAGCATTGGCAGTGGCTCCTTTATTTGGACATAGAGAAAAGCCAAGAAATGAAATGATATTTTCCTTCTGTCATCATTACTCAGCATGACTGCCTTGCTTAGCAATAAGAAATTCAAGTGTTAAGAAAAACTACAGTGCATTTTCTTATCCAAAAATGCATTCTCCTGTATAGTCAAGAGATTCACTATGTTCTCATATTGTTGCTGAAGAGGATGGTCTTTTGAATTACTTTTGAAATTCTAGCTCTTCTCTGCAGCTGGCATATTCATATTGTCTGAATTCTAAAGGGAAATATAGCTCTTAAATTGGAGTATGCGTAAGAATCACCTGAGTAGTTTACTAAAAAGGTAGATGCCTGACTCCCACTCCTAGTCACTGGGGCTGAAGAACCTGCCTTTTTAATACATGGTACAGAAGGTTCTGATCGGGGGATCCATACAGTTGCCTTGTGTGTTACCACCTGGGTGCCATGCTCAGTTATCAAAAACCTTATTGCTATGTGTGTGCCCTTTACACGCCAAGCCCTAGCTGCTGCTTTTAGAACGGCACTTGAACTTGCCATATAAATTAAAGGTATAATAATAATACTTATAAATAATAATTATTTTTGACTTACAACAATTTTCTGATTTTTACAAACTTCATGGAAGGAGCATGAACTTGGCAGTCAGAAAGGCCTGGGTGTGGATCTTTCAGCTTCCTCTGCTTCTTGGGCAGGTTGTTCAACTTCTCTGCGGCTCTGTTTCCTTATCTGTCAACTGTCAAATGGGAACAGTATTACTCACTTCACTGAGAGAGAGAGGTGGTGAGGATGAAATAAAGTGGCTTATGTAAACACCCTGCACTATGTGTGGCATTTAGTAGATGCCAATAAATACCACTTGTCTTCTTTCTTATAGGAAGCAGGAATTAACTTAAAAAACACAAGGACTTAAAGCAGATATTTTTAGGAAAACTTTTTTTTTTTTTTTTTTTTTTTTTGAGACAAAGACTCGCTCTTGTCCTCCAGGCTGGAGTGCAGTGGTGTGATCTCGGCTCACTGCAACCTCCGCCTCCCGTGTTCAAGCGATTCTCCTGCCTCAGCTTCCTGAGTAGCTGGGATTACAGGCACCTGCCACCACGCCCGACTAATTTTTGTGTTTTTAGTAGAGACCGGGTTTCACCATGTTAGCCAGGCTGGTCTCGAACTCCTGACCTCAGGTGATCCACCCACCTGGGCCTCCCAAAGCGCTGGGATTACAGGCATGAGCCACTGCGCCCAGCCAAGAAAACTTTTTTTTTTTTTTAATGTGCAAGGGATAGGTTTTTTGGCCTTGATATGTATCACTTTAAAAGTCAGTCATTGTTTAGAGATCTTGAGATCATGTCCCTCCTTAATTCCTTTAGATAATAACTGAGTTATGTTGTAAATACAGGTTTTCAAGAGAGATCCCCAGGGGGTAGATATGGAATTGCAGGTGAATTGCAACCGTGGTATCTTTGTGGCCATTCCCAGGGTCCATTGCAGAGAACACAGATCAGGTGTTCCACCTGAAACTACACCTGCTCCTAGTCAGAATCTCACAAGAAGAACCTTGTTTCTCAGAAGTTAGCCAATAATGGATTATTTGGACTATCTTGTTCAAACTCTTGCCAGGCGAAATGAGAACACTGCTGAGGTCTGAGAGAAACAGTGAACTGTTATATTGTGGTATACAGCGAGCTCCTTGTTGTAAGGTGTTTCCTAAACTGAGTTTCAGCAGTATCTGCCCACATCTACCCCCTGCTCAACCTGGTTTTACCTTTGGAGAGAAAAATCATCTTTTTTTATTTGGTTGATTAATTTTAGGTTCAATGTTCTTGTCCCATGTCATTCCTTGCTCATGTCTTTCTTGCTCATGTCATTCCCTAAGGAGTATGTTTTTATATATCACCATGATGTTCCTGCTTCTGAGGCTCCACATCAAAAAGGGAATTTGGTAGCAAACACTGCCTATCTGCATTCTCTAGCTGGAGAAACTGCAAGTTAAATGAAAACTCTTGGTGAGCTCAAAGCCACAAGTGTCCCCTCACTGCCTTATCTCCAGGCCTTTGTAAAGGGGAGGCTGTACATCCCAGTCCCAGTGCTGGGCAGTCACAGTAACTTCTAGTCTCTGAAGGCCACACTCTGGAAACTATGAGTATTCTTTTAGTATTCTCTTAGTATCCTTGTAAGCCCCATCATGTGATGTTAGGGTCTGAAAAGACCCTATAAATCCCCTGGGCCAATCCTCTTTGTTTTATGGGAAAGGAAACTGAGGTTCAGAGAGATCCATGTTGTTCCTAGTTTATTTTTTTAAAATTTACTGCCTGCAGTGTGTGTATCAGACACTATGCACATAATGGGAGGCTCATCACAGGCCTGCAACAGATTGGATGAGTTGCCATTTATGATCAGGAATGACCCTCTGGTAAAGCAGGCTAGAAACTGTCCAGCACACGCTAATTAATGAGTAAAGAAACATTGACTGAGCACCTTTGGTGCCTGAACATTCTGCTATGTCCCAAGAAGCTGGGAGAAGGAGGGAGAAATACAACTGGTGAGACAAAAAGGATAAACTTTAAGAAATGGTCCCCATCTTCGAGGACTTACAGTCCACAGTGAACTCCTGCTGAAGGTGCCTTCTAAATCAATATAAAGACATATTACAAATCCACATTACAAAATATTGAACTAAGCAAGATTTTGTATTCAATAGTTCAATGATGTCATCCCAGAGAAGTCTGGGAGGAAGGGAGAAGACGGCAGGCTCCACTGAGGAGCACGCCTGGTGTTTTCTCCCCTGGACTGTTAAAGCCACGACTGTCTTATGGGTCTTTGTGTCTCCAGGATTGTGGCTTGGAGGGGCTGCCCCGTTCACCCTGTCGAATCAATCTCTGTGACTCATTTGACACCAAAATTACAGAGATACCATGATGACCCCTTTTGCAGGAATGGTCTCTACTCACCTGGATCTTTTGTTGATTTTCTTTCAGTGGCGCACCCTCAGGACCCTCACCACCCATCAGAGAAGCCTGTCATTCACTGCCATAAATGTGGGGAGCCTTGTAAGGGTGAAGTGCTTCGGGTCCAGACCAAACATTTCCACATCAAGTGTTTCACCTGCAAAGGTATGGTGCCTCCAGCTTCGTGGCTCAGTGGCATGCCATGGTCAGGGCTCGCCTTGGGTCCAGCCCATCCCCTTAACTCCACCTCGGGTCACTGGATGATAAGTGAATGCCCTGAGAAGCCCTGACATCATTTACTGCCAGTTTGGGATTCAGTTAGACTCTAGGGCGAGAACGAGTCCTGCTAAAACCAGTGGTTCATGGGCCTTTGGGTGCTCACTGAGGTCCCTTCTCCTGGAAGAAGGGACTAACACTGAGAAAGAGCAATAAAAATACACTTCTGTGGTTTTTGCCTTCTTTTTCTTTTTCTCTGAAATGAGGAACTCCTACTACAAAGTAGCTTGTCCCAATATCCATTAGTTATAGGAGGCCTGGAAAACTTGCAAGATTGGGTGCCAAGTCACTGGCTCCTCTGTGTGTGTGTGTGTGTGTGTGTGTGTGTGTGTGTGTGTGTGTGTGTGTGTGTGTATTGAGAATTGAGAATTAAGCAAGAACACTCGGGAGACCTCCAAGCAGAAAAAGACCTCCCATCCAAGAAGCTACCAGTTTGGTGTCGATTTCCATTAACAAGCCTACCTTTTGGGGTTTACAAAGATTGGCATCTTTGTATGAAATACGCCAACCTGTTATTTCAGAGCCAGGGCGTGGCCAACTGGGGAAGAAAAGGAAGAAGAATGGTTTTGTGTGTTTTTTTGATAACTAGGTTACTTGGGCTGAGGGCATGTCCGGGTAGCTCAAGATGTGGTTCAAGGATGTCAGAGAAGGAAGGCAGACGAGACTCGGAGAGCACTCTGTAAATTTACTCTGTGCCCTGCCTGCGGTAAGCACCCTCATTCCTATGCCCTGCCTGGAAGCACCTTCATTTCTGGAAACTGTGTTTTGTTTTGAGTGTCTTACATCACAAAGACTCAGCATTGTCATCCTAAGCCATCCATCCACGGCCAGGGGGGCTCTCAGGTAGATTCCAGTCTTCCTAGTGACCACGAAATACATGAATAAAGGAGGAGGGAGCGCTTTCCTGGAGTCCACAGCTGTTCCTTACACTGAAGGTAAAGTTTTCAGGAGAAAGAATGCTAGCATGTGTAGCTAGGGCAAGAAGGTGGAAAGAGGGGAGGGTATGAGCTTAACTGCCTCAAATGAGCTCAGTGCTCAATGCATGACATGCTGTGTCCATATCTCAGAGAGGGATTATTTAATCCTCCTGAAAACCCCTGTGAGTAAGTATGATAAACCCCAGTTTTCACCCAACCCAAGTTGGCTATGAGGAAATATCAAGGTTACACCCAGGGTGCTGTGCTGTCACGTTGTGTGGCTTGAGTCCTGCCTTGCCATTAAGCAGCTGATTGTGGACAAGTTACTTGTCTCTCTGTGGCTCAGTGTCCTTATCTGTAAAATAAGGAGACTAGACCATATGAAACTTACATCATCCCAGGTCTGAAGTTTGCAGATTCCATATACCAGATAAGTGTATATTAATATAGACCCCCAATCAGAGCTTCTTAATGGGTAGGTCAGAGAAAAAAAATGTTTTCTGGTTATATCCACTTTAGCTAACTTGGAGTCAGCATTGTATTTTTATTTTTTCTCATAAATTTATTGCGACATGACTCAAAGGATAGATTTGGTGTGAAATAAATACAATCCATAAACGACTACAGTCACATATATATTTTATTTTATTTATTCTATTTTATTATTTATCTATTTATTTGAGATGGAGTCTCACTCTGTTGCCAGGCTAGAGTGCGGTGGTGCGATCTCAGCTCACTGCAACCTCTGCCTCCTGGGTTCAAGCAATTCTCCTGGCTTAGCCTCCCAAGTAGCTGGGATTACAGGCACCTGCCACTATGCCCAGCTAATTGTTGTGTTTTTGTTTTGTTTTGTTTTGTTTTGTGTTTTAGTAGAGACGGGGTTTCATCATGTTGGCCAGGCTGGTCTTGGACTCCTAATCTCAAGGGATTCTCCTGCCTCAGCATCCCAAAGTGCTGGGATTACAGGTGTGAGCCACCACGCCCAGCTCTCTCTATATTTTATATTTCTACTTGAAAGTATGGAGTAGTAGACTCAGATCTGGGCACTCACTGTTCAATACATCGAGGTGTTAGAATAGACATTCATTTATCCCCTGTGGGGTGAAAGCTCCCTTGCTTTTTTTCTCCTTTAGTTTAATTCTAAGGACCAAATGTAAATTCCTCATCTTGGAAAGTTGTATCATATATCTTGTTTCATGCTATAAATGTGTTCTTGAA